CCTGTCCTGTTCCTCATCTCAAGGGAAACACTTTTAGTTTTTACACATTGAGTATGATGTAGCCAGTGGGTGTGTCATCCATGGCTGTTTTATGTTGTGTGATTTCTCTGTTTCCACTTTGCTGAGAGTTTTTATCATAAATTGGTGCTGGATGTTATCAAGTGCTTTTTCTGCCTCTCTTGATATAGTCATTTGATTTTTATCCTTCAGTTTGTTTATGTGAGTGTCATGTTTATTGAATTGTTAATATTGTTGCAAGCTTGCATCCCCAGAATAAATCCCACCTGATCTTGGTGTATGATTTTTTTAATGTATTTCTGGATCCAGTTGCTAATATTTTGTTGAGTATGTTAGCATCTGTGTTTATCAAGGATATCGACCTATAATGTTCTTTCTTTGTAGTGCCTTTATCTGGTTTTGGAATTAAGATAATTTTGGGCTTGTAAAAAGAGTTTGCTTGTCTTCCCTCCTTTTAAGTTTTTTGGTATCCTTTGGGTAGGATAGGTATTAGTTCTTTGAATATTTGGAAAAATCCACCTGTGTAGTCATATAGTCCAGGACTTTTGTTTGCTGGGAGTTTTTCTGATTACTTGATTTTCTGACTTTTTTCCTGATTCAGTTTTGGAAGATTATATGTTTCCAGGATTTTATGCATTTGCCCATTTGCACATGTTGTCCAATTTGTTGGCATATAGTCATACATAGTACTTTTTTACAACCCTTTGTATTTCTGTGATGTCAGTTGTTACTTCTCTTCCATTTCTGATTTTATTCATTTGGGTCCTGTCTCTCTCTCTCTGTTTTTTTTTTTTTTTTCCCTTGATGACTGTGGTTAAAGTTCTGTCAGTTTTGTTTTGTCTTTTTTAAAGAACCCGGTCTTTTTCTCATTGATGTGCTGTGTTGCTTTTTAGTCTCTTTGTCATTTCCTCTCTGATCTGTATTATTTCCTTTCTTCTGCTACTTACTCTCAGCTTTGTTTCTTTTTCTTTTTCTAGCTCTTTTAGAAGTAGGGTTAGATTGTGTATTTGAGGTTTTCCTTGCCTCTTAGATAAGCTTGTAAAGCTATGAACTTCCCTCTCAGAACTGCTTTCTCTGTGTTCCACAGATTTTAGGTTATTGTTTGTTCAACCTTGTTTTTGTCAGAATTAGTTATTTGTTCTTTGATCTCATTGTTAACCCATTCATTGTTTAAAAACAAGCTATTTAATCTACATGTGTTTGAAAGATTTTGAGGAATTTTTAAAAGATTTTATTTATTCATTTCTAGAGAGAGGAGAAGGGAAGGAGAAAGGAAGGGAGGGAAACATTGACTGGTTGCCTCTCTCACATACCCAACTGGGGACCTGGCCCCAATCCAGGCATGTGCCCTGACTCGGAATCACACCAGTGACCCTTCAGTTCCCAGGCTAGCATTCAACCCACTGAGCCATACAATCATCAGTTTTTTATTGTAGTTGATTTCTAGTTTCATACCTTGTGGTAAGAGAAAATGGTTGATGTAATTTCAGTCTTTTTGAATCTGTTAAAACTTATTTTGTGTCCTAACATGTGGTCTATCTTTGAAAAGAATGTATAATCTGCTGCTTTGGGATGAAATGCTGTTTAAATATCAATTAACTACATTCCATGCAGTGTGTTGTTTAGGGTTTCTGTTCCCTTGTTGATTTTTTGTCTGGAAGATATCTCCACTGATGACAGTGCAGTGTAAAATCTCCTATTATGACTGTATTGCTGTCTATCTTTATCTTCAGATTTTCTTTATATATTCAAGTGCTTCTGTGTTGGGTCCATGTATGTTTTAAAGGTTTGTATCCTCTTGTTGGTTTGATCCCGTTAGTATTATGTAGTGACCTTCTTTATGTCTTATTATGGCCTTTGTTTTGAAGTCTGTTTTCTCTGAAATAATTATTGCTACCCTGGCATTTTTTTCATTTCCATTTGCACAGAGTACTTCCTTCCATCCCTTCACTCTCAGTCTGTGTGTATCTTTTGTTCTATGACGAATCCCTTGCAGACGGCATGTATATGGGCCATTTTACTGCCCATTCAGCTACCTTATTTCTTTTGACTAGAGCATTTAATTCATTACAATAAAGTTTTTATTTATAGGTACTTATTTATTGCCATTTTATTCTTTATATCTCTGTTCCTCTCTGATGTTTTTCTTTCTTATTAAAGCAGGCCCTTTAACATTTCTTGCAATACTGGTTTGGTGGTAATGAACTACTTTAGCTTTTGTCTGGGAAGCTCTTTGCATTGCCTTAAAAAAATACCATGTTTATTATATTTTTCCTGTTACCATTTAGTCCCCATATAGCAGGGGTGTCAAACTCATTTTCACCAGGGGCCTCATCAGCCTCACAGTTTCCTTCAAAGGCCCAAATATAATTTTAGAATTCTATAAATATGAGCTAATCCATAACAGTTAAGCAAGAGCTCGGCACTGCTGCCAGGGAGAAACAAGGTGCTGGGCCAGATAAAACAAGGTGGAGGACCAGATTTGGCCTGTGGGCCTTTCCTCTGCCACCTGTTCCATATACTCTCATCCCCTCAGCAATCACCACACTGTTATCCATGCCCATGAGTTCCTTTTTCCTTTTTGCTCAATCCCTCGACCCCCTAATTTCCCCTCACACCCACTAGGTATCATCTGTTCTTCATCTATGAGTTTTCCTGTTTTGTGTGTTAGATTCCACATATGAGTGAAATCATATGGTATTTGTCTTTCTCTGACTGGCTTATTTCACTTGGCATAATGTTCTCCAGATCCATCCATACTATTGCAAACAGTAAAACTTTCTTCTTTTTTATGGCTGAGTTGAATTCCATTGTATAAATGTCTCATAGTTGCTTTTTTCCTTTAAATATATTTTATTCATCATGCAATTACAGTTGTCGCCTTTTTCTCCTGTTTATTTTCCTCTGACCTGCACCCCTGCATAGTCTTATGGGCACTCCTTTCTAGGTAACTGTCTCCTTTCCTCTTGCTGCTTTTAAGATTCTCTCCTTACTGTTACTCTTCAGCAATGTAATTATGCTTTGCCTTAGTATGTGCTTCCTTGAGTCCAATGTCTTAGGGACTCTCTGAGCTTCCTGGACTTTCTGGAAGCCTATTTCCTTTGCCCTATTGGGGAATTTGTCTTTCATTATGTTTTCAAATAAGTTTTCAATTTCTTGCTCTTCCCCTTCACCTTCTTGCACCCCTATGATTCAGATGTTGCAATGTTTAAAGTTGTCCTGGAGTTTCCTAAGCCTCTCCATTTTTTAAAACTCTTGTTTATCCATTCTGTTCTGGTTGAATATTTATTTCTTCTTTTTGATCTAAACCATTGATTCAAGTTCCAGTTTCTTTCCCATCACTGTTGGTTCCCTGTGGATTTCCTTTATTTCACTTTTCATAGTCTTCATTTTTTCTTGTATTTTGTGACCATCCTCAACCAATTTTGTGAACATCCTGATTATCAGTGTTTTGAACTGTGCATCTGACAGGTTCTCTATCTCTTTGTTGTGTAGTTGTATTATTTCTGGAGCTTTGATCAGTTCTTTCATTTGGGCCATTTTTTGGGTCAACAGTCAGTTCCCTTTCTTGACCATCTTCTGCTTCTGTGATACACTTGCACTGCTGCCTCTCAGACTGCACCTGTATCAGTGCTCCTCAGATTTTAGTGTATCTAAGGAATCCCTTGCTGATTTTGCTAAAGTGTGATTATGATTCAGTAAGTCTGAGGTGAGGTCCAAGGATACAGATTTCTACCAGCTCCAAGGTGGTAACTCTGTTTGTCCCTGAACCACAGTAAATAGCGAGGACTGTATTCTGCCTTTGTCTTATTGTTGAAAATACTTGGAACAAAAATTTCACACAAATACTAAAATAGAGAACAAGTGGGCCGCAACCAGAGGGGAGAGGGAAGGGAATTTAAGGGGAAAAATGGGGAGGGATTTTGAAGAACAAGTATGAAAGACACAGGGATGAGGACTGTGGGGGGGGGGGGGGAATGGGAGGGAGGTGGGGAGACGGGGCAGAGGGGGGGCTGGGATGGGAGAAATTGACAAAAAAAAACTGTACTTGAAAAATAACTAAATAAATTAAAATTTAAAAAAAAAAACTTTGTACAATAAACCTCTGCCAAGTTCAACCTTTCCCACCATTCCTAGATTGTCAGTTTTTCTCTGGAGCATTTTTTAAGCATATTCGAATGAAAGTTCTAGACTTGCTTGCAGGAGTAATAAATAGGCCATATAACAAAATTACCATATAATGAGTATAACTAGTGGTTTTTTAAAAATAAAAATCATCTCAGTATCACATATAGATAAATGATAAAAAAAAGTTTCACACAAATAGGTCTCTACAGTTGTAAGAATTAGAGGCAAAATTGTGTTTCTCCTCAGGGACTCAGAGAAGTCACTGAGGAACTAGTAAAGTGTGAAGACTTTTAGCAAAAACAGTATAAAATGTCTCAACTACAACACAGGTCAGGAAGATAAACAGGGAGAAAATACTATATATTTGGCATAAACTTCACACAGGTTTTTATTGAAAGCATACTAACATACAGTTAATACACTTTATAAATGATACAGACTTTAAGAAGATACAGAATTTGCTCTCAGGAAACTTGAAAATTAGAAGAAAAAAGGGACCTGCATAGCTGAAACACAGGATAAAAAGTATAAACTGGGCAAAGGGTGCTGCAAAGTGTGGTGGGAGTTCATACACTGCTTCCACTTGTGAATCAGGGAACACCCCTCCCCCCCAAAGAAGTGACATCTTACAAGGGCCTGAGAGTCATTAATTTTCCAATATGTAGAGGTTACTAGGATCTCATTTTATCCAGAGTTAACATGTGAATTTTTAAAATCTCAGAACCAGATTAGAAAACAAATCCTGAAAAATTACATTTAGCTTATATTAATAACAAATCATTAAATAAACATAGGTAAAAAACAGTAAAAACTGTACAAAAGAGAGTTGAAAGGAATTATTGCCATGCTGAGTTTTAAGTATATTTTGAGTCCCTGGGCTGCTGGAATCTCTCCAAAGGAAGAAGAGTGGGAGTAGGTTCACAGTGTTTCCTAATAAAAACAGAGAAGAATGTTACTGTGCATGAGGTGGAGGTAAGAATTGAAGAGAAAAAGGAAAGGGACTGGGAAAGAAGAATTAGGAGAGAAAGGAAAAAAAATTACAGGACAACAAGTAAGGAGGGAGGGAATAAAATAAAAGAAAGACGATACAGAGGGAGAGAAGATGGCGGCTAGGTAAGAGGGCACACATTCCACTTCCCCTTACACCTGGGAGAGAAATCTGGCTGATCCACAAAGAAACAGAGAAGACAGCCAATGGTACCACTGCATATATGAAAATAGGAGGCCAAAAATTGTAGCAGACATTGAAAAACCAGATGGTAAGGACAGTGCTTAAGGACAATAAGGTCCAAGGGATCAGCTTGGGGACCAGGGAGGCTGCATCCCCAGTCCCTGGTCCCCTGGGCTGGGCACAGGGCTGTTGGGAGAGAGCTACATCAGTGCTCCCTCCCCAGCCAACCAGTGTTTGAGCAGCACCAGGAGAGACCTGGTTGCTTGAAGTTGCAGAGAGGGGAGTAAGAACTGAGTGGCAAACACACAGGAGCTGTAAGCACCCACGTGTAGCCCTGGGAAATGTGTGTGCTGGAGCCATGTGACTGGAGGTAGCCTTGCGGGGCACTGGTGCACCCGCAACCTGGGGAGAGAGAGCTTGGTGGAACACTGTGGTTCACACCTGAGGACCAGAGAGAGAACACCCACCTCTGGAGACGGAGAGCATACTGGTCAACTCAGTAGACTCAGAGAGCCACCCACATCTGAAAACCTGCCCATCAGCCTGCTACAGCCAGCAAAAGTAGAAACGGCAGTTTGGCAAGTTTGAAACCAGCAAGAGGTTTTTATTTGTTTGTTTGATTTTTCTTAAAGTAATTATTTATTTTTAATTTTTATTATTTTTTATCTCTAATTCCTTTTACTTCTCTTTTGTTCTTTTTTATTTTATTCCTTTTTTCTTTCTTTCCAATTTTATATCTTCTACCTTCCTTAATCTGCTTTTTTTTTTTTTTTTTTTGGAAATACCCACAAATGAGATTTAAAAAAAAAACCCCAGCACTGTGAAAAGACCAGAGTTGAACCCAAAGAGGGGGCATTTCAACAGCTGAGTCACAGAAACAAATATCACTTTGCTATTACAGAGAACCTGAAAGATACTGCATATTTGTATTATTATTATTTTTTAATATTCTTACTTCTTTTATTTGAATAATATTTTCGTATCCCTCTTCTTTCTGTTTAGTCTTGTTTGCTTGGCTGGTTATATTGTATCATATGACAAGTTTCCGCTGTCCTCTCATTCATAATGTATTGCTAATTTATTCTCCTTCGTGTGATCTGTGTTCCCTTAGTACACTACTCAAGGTCCAGTACTCCCTATTCTCGGTGTCTAGACCTCACAGATTCTGTCATATGATTGTTGCTCTAATATTATTATAAATAATAGCTGTTTCATACTATTGTAAATACTACACAACACCCATCCACAATCTCAGCCCACTTCACAGGTTCCTGAACTCTATTAATGTAGTGGTCAACTCTATTCTCTCACACACTACACCTATTTACTCTCCTTCATTCTCACCTTACCTCAGAATCTGACCTCTCACAACCTCACTGCTTTCTAGATCTAATTCACAATGCTACCCTCCCCAAGAAGAGTCTTATCCTCCTTTCATTTTTTCTAAAATGTGGCTAGTTGGATGGAATATAACGGTTAACACTATACATAGCAAAGGATCTCCTATCTCTACCTTACTGGCTACTACTGTAAATAACATAGAATTCTCTCTTGCTGTCTTAAGCCATTTTGTTTCTAACTGATCAAAAAAAGGTAGGTGGAAGTGGTGAACACCAGGATATTCAAAGGACACTGCACCACTGAATCTCACAGGTATTCTACCACAGAAGTTCACACCATAACCTCAATGAGTCATAACAGATGAATTTAAGAAGCTGAGGCTAAAAAGAAGAGTCTCTTAGCCCTGGCTGGTGTAGCTCAGCGGATTGATTGCGGGCCTGCGAACCAGACAATCGCGGTTCGATTCCCAGTCAGGGCACATGCTTGGGTTGTAGGCCGGTTCCCTGCAGGCCAGTTCCCAGCAGGGGATGCATGAAAGACAACCGTACATTGATGTTTCTCTCCCTCTCTCCTTCCCCCTTTCCCCTCTAAAGATAAATAAAAAAAAATAATAATAAAATAAAATAAAAAAATAAAAAATAAAAAGAAGAGTCTCATAAACAATGGGAAGAAAAAGAAACAAACCTAAAATGAAAAGAAAGGAGGAAATCTCAGGAAGAATGCTAGACGAAATAGAGGCAAGTCAGCTATCAGATATTGTGTTCAAAGCAATGGTTATCAGGAAGCTTCGTGAGCTCACAATGAGCTATGAGAAAGTATAAAGAAACGACAATGAATTCCTTGCAAATGATAGCAACATGAAAAACGAAAAAAAGAAACTATCAACAAGAGCCAAGAGAAAATGAAGAATACAATTTCTGAACTGAAGAACACAATAGAAGGAATCAAAAGCAAAACCGATGAAGCAGAAAATCTGATCAACAACCTGAAGCAAAAAGTAGAAAAAAATCACTCCAGAAAACAAGAAAAAGAAAAGAGGCTCAGAGAGAATGAAGAGGGATTAAGAGAAATGCAAGACAATATGAAACATATTAATATCCAAGTAAGAGAGATACCAGAAGGAGAAGAAGAACAGAAAAGGATAGAAAACCTATTTGAAGAAGTAATGATGGAAAACTTCCCTCATTTGATGAGGGAAAAAGTCACACAAAGCCAGGAAACAGAGTCCCAATCAAGAGGAACCCAAAGAGGCCCACTTCAACACACATCATCATTAAAATGGCAAAATTCCAGCACAAAGAGAGAATCTTAAAGGCGAGAACAAGGGAGAAAAAGGAAGTAACATACAAGGGAGCCCCAATTAGGTTAGCTGCTGACTTTTCAATGGAAATGCTCCAAGCAAGAAGAGAATGGCAAGAAATATTCCAAGTAATGAGAACCAGAGGCCTGCAGCCAAGGCTACTTTACCCAGCAAGGCTCTCAATCAAGATAGAAGGCCAAATAAAGAGCTTCCAAGAAAAAAGATGTCTAGAAGAACACACCTCCACCAAACCAGCTCTGCAAGAGATGCTCAAGGGACTGCTCTAAGGAAAGGAAGGAAAAGACAGAGACAGAGAGGAACACATGTATAAAAATGGCAATGAATAAGTACCCATCAATAATAACCTTAAACATAAATGGATTAAATGCTCCAATCAAAAGACATAGAATAGCTGAATAGATAAGAAAGCATGACCCACCCATATGCTGCCTACAAGACACCCACCTAAGGGTAAAAGACATACACAGACCAGAAGTGAAGGACTGGAAACAAATTTTCCAAGCAAACAGGGCAAAAAAAAAAAAAAAAAAAAAAGCCAGGGTAGCAATACTCATATCAGACAAAGTAGACTTCAAAAAAAAGGGCCACAGAGAGAGACCCAGAAGGTCATTTCATAATGCTAAAGGGAAGAATCAACCAAGAAGACATAAACTTTGAAAATATATCTGCACCCAACATAGAAGCACCCAAATGTATAAAGAAAATCTTACAGGACTTTAAGAAACATATTGACAGCAACACAATTATAGTTGGGGATTTTAACACCCCACTGTCAAAAATGGACAGATCTACCAAACAAAATGTCAACAGAGATGTTGTGGCATTGAACAACGCCCTAGATGAAATGAACTTAACTGATATATATAGAGAGCCCTTCATCCCAAAGAAGGTAAATACACATTCTTTCCAAATGCACATGGAACATTTTCAAAGATAGACCACATGATAGGACACAAAATGAGCCTCAACAAATTCAAGAAAATTCAAATCATCCCAAGCATTTTCTCTCACCACAAGGGACTGAAACTGGAAACCAACCCCTAGGGAAAGAACCCAAAACACTCAAAATCATGGAGATTGAATAGCATGCTATTAAACAACAAATGGGTCAAGAATGAAATTAGGGGAAAAATCAAAAAGTTTCTGGAAACAAATGAAAATGAACTCACAACGACCCCAAACTTATGGGACACAGCAAAGGCAGTTCTAAGAGGGAAGTTCATAGCAATACAGGCTCACTTAAAAAAGATAGAAACATTTCAAACAAACAACCTAACCCTATGCCTGCAAGAACTCGAGGAAGAACAACAAACACAGCCCAGAGAAAGCAGAAGGAAGGAAATAACCAAGATCGGAGCAGAATTAAATGACACAAAGATGAAAGCACAATTCTAAGGATCAATGAATCCAGGAGCTGGTTTTTGAAAAGATAAACAAAATTGACAAGCCTTTAAGCAGGTTCATCAAGAAAAGAAGAGAGAGGACCCAAATAAACACAGTCAGAAATGAAAGAGGAGAAATTCCAACTGACACCACAGAAATACAAAGGATTGTAAGAAATTACTATGGAGAACTGTATGTCAAGAAATTTGAAAACCTAGGTGAAATGGACAAATTTCTAAAAAAACATAATCTTCCAAAACTCAATGAAGAAGAAGCAGAAAGCCTGGACAGACCAATAACAGCAGAAGAAATTGAAGCAGTAATAAAAAAAAAACCTCCCTAACACAAAAGCCCTGGACTGGATGGTTTCACAGGAGAATTTTACAAAACATTTAAGGAAGAGCTAACCCCTATCTTTCACAGACTATTCCAAAAAATCCAAAATGATGGAAGACTCCCAAACTCCTTTTGTGAAGCCAGCATCATCCTAATCCCCAAACCAGATAAAGACACAACAAAGAAAGAAAACTTCAGGCCAATATCACTGATGAACACGGATGCTAAAATCCTCAACAAAATCTTGGCAAACCGCATCCAACAAATCATTAAAATGATCATACACCATGACCAAGTGGGATTCATCCCAGGGATGCAAGGACGGTTCAATATGCGCAAATCAGTAAATGTAATATATCACATAAACAAAAGCAAACACAAAAATCACACGATCATATCAATAGATGCAGAAAAAACATTTGATAAGGTACAGCACCCATTTATGATAAAAACACTCAGCAAAGTGGGAATAGAGGGAGCATTCCTCAACATAATAAAGGCCATATATGAGAGACCTACAGCCAACACCATACTCAGTGGGCAAAATCTAAAAAGCTTTTCCACTAAGATCAGGAACAAGACAAGGTTGTTCACATTCACCACTTCTATTCAATATAGTATTGGATGTCCTAGCCACAGTGATCAGACAAGAAAAGGAAATAAAAGGCATCCAAATCAGAAATGAGGAAACAAAACTGTCACTGTTTGCAGATGACATGATAGTGTACATGGAAAATCCTATAGACTCAGCCAATAAACTACTCGACCTAATAGATGAATTTGGCAAAACAGCGGGATACAAAGTCAATACCCAGAAAGAAATCAAAGGCATTTTTGTGTATCAACAATGAAACAGCAGAAGCAGAAATCAAGAAAAAAGGCCCATTTGATATACCAAAAAGAAAAATAAAATACCTAGGGATAAACCTAACCAAAGAGGTAAAAGACCTGTATGCAGAAAACTACACAACACTGAAGAAAGAAATCAAGAACGACACAAACAAATGGAAACATATACCGTGTTCATGGATCAGAAGAATTAACATCATCAAAATGTCCATACTACCCAAAGCAATTTACAGATTCGATGCAATACCTATTAAAGTACCAATGGCATATTTCACAGACATAGAACAAACACTTCAAAAATTTATATTCGGAACCATCAATGACCCCGAATAACAGCTACAATTTTGAGAAAGAAGAACAAAGTAGGAGGGATCACAGTACCTGATACGAAACTGTATTACAAATCCACTGTAATCAAAACAGCCTGGTACTAGCATAAAAACAGGCACATAGACCAATGGAAGAAAACAGAGAGCCCAGAAATAAACCCAAGTATCTATGTTCAATTAATATTCAACAAAGGGGGCAGCAACATAAAATGGAGTAAAGATAGCCTCTTCAACAAATAGTGTTGGGAGAACTGGACAGCTACATGCAAAAAAATAAAACTCGAGCTCCATACACAAAAATAAATTCAAGGTGAATAAGAGATTTAAATGTAAGTTGTGAGACCATTAAAGTCCTAGAGGAGAACATAGGCAGGAAAATCTCAGATATTTCATGCAGCAATATTTTCACTGGTATGTCCCCTAGAGCAAGGGACACAAAGGAAAGAATAAGCAAATGGGATCTCATCAAAATAAAAAGCTTCTGCACGGCTACAGAAAACAATATTAAGATAAAAAGAGAACCAACCATATGGGAAAACATATTTGCCAATGATATCTCAGACGAGGGGTTAATCTCCAAAATATACAAAGAAATTACACGACTCCACTCGAAGAAGACAAGCAACCCAATTAAAAAGTGGGCAAAGGACTTGAACAGACACTTCTTCAATGAGGACATACAGGGGATCCAGAGACATATGAAAAGATGCTCAATATCGCTAGCTATCAGAAAGATGCAAATTAAAACCACAATGGGATACCACTTTACACCAGTCAGAATGGCCATCATAAACAAAGCAACAAACAGCAAGTGTTGGAGAGGTTGTGGAGAAGAGGGGACCCTAGTTCACTATCGGTGAGATTGCAGACTGGTACAGCCACTATGGAAAACTGTATGAAATTTTCTCAGAAAACTAAAAATGGAACTGCCTTTTGACCCAGGAATTTCACAGCTAGGATTGTAGCCTAAGAACCCTGAAACACCAATCCAAAAGAACCTGTGTACCCCAATGTTCATAGCAGCACAATTTGCAGTAGCCGAGTGCTGGAAGCAACCTAGGTGCCCATCAGTAAATGAATGTATCAAAAAAGTATAGTACATTTACACAATGGATTTCTGTGCAGCAGAAAGAAAGAAGGAGCTCCTATCCTTTGAACAGCATGGATGGAACTGGAAAGCATTATGCTGAGTGAAATAAGCCAGGTGTTGAAAGACAAATGCCACATGATCTCACCTTTAACAGGAACCTAAGCAACAAAACAAACAAGCAAGCAAAATATAACCACAGACACTGAAACAGAGAACAGGCTGACAGGGACCAGGTGGGAGAGGGGAAGGAATTTCAGAAGAAAAGGGGAAGGGTTTACAGGAACTAATATAAAAGACCCATGGACAAAAACTATGGGGGTGGAATTGGGAGGGAGGGGAAGCACAGGGGGGGTGGGTTGGGATGGGAGTAAAAGAAAACTGTACTTGAACAAGAAGGAAGGAAGGGAGGGAGGGAGGGAGGGAGGGAGGGAGGGAAGGAGGGAAGAGAAGGAAGGGAAGGAAGGGAAGGAAGGGAAGGAAGGAAGATGGATACAGACAACTCACCAGTGCTTTTTAAGCCAAAATGCAAGACCTGTCAGAAGAAGCACCAGAAGGACCATCACTGCCAAGATGATCAAGCCCTTGGAGGTTGGACGGTCTGTGGGTTCAGGTGCACACAAGGGTGTCATTTCAAATCCACCACTTGTTTACTGCATTTCCCTCATCTGCTTTTTAAAATCTGAATGTTTGCCTCACTAATCTCCTTTCTTCCTGTTTCTTCTGTCATTTCTCTTCAGACATGAATCTTTCATCTAACTCTCAATATGCATTCCTATATCTGCATGTCTCTTATTTTCTACTCTTTCATTTATTGAATTATTTTCATTCTTTTGGGATAGGAGTCCATAAATTCCAGACGTTTTATCAGGCTCTTTGGCTCTGCTTGTGGACCATCTACTCCTATTCCCACTGAGGATCCCAGTTTTTTCTTACCCAAGTAGAGGATGATGTCCTGGCCTTCTAGACTGCTGTGTGTCACCCGGCAAGACAGGCCAGATGTCTTGGTGGCTTCCACATCCAGGTAACTCCGAAGATACCATGTCCCATCAGCATTGGGCAAGATATCACTTTGTTGAGAGGCCTGTTGTGCCTGTTCACCTCGCATCCACATAACAGAAATTGGCTTTGGGTAGAAGCCAGAGACATGACAAACTAGCAACAGATGGTGAGGACCAGGACTGGGGCCAGTGGACAGCCAGGCCTCTGGTTTTACTGCAGAAGACAGGAAAGACATTCAGATAAGGACTCTAACCCAGATTTGGGGGTTCATATCTTCACATCAGTTTAGACAGCACCTTTGTCCCACTCTGGGAATTCATCATGTATTTCCCTTTGATTCCTTATCCTAAATCTGAAGGGATGGTAGGAAGGTATAATTTTTGAATAGAAAATTCTTGGAGGGATATGAAACTGACCTTTTCTCTGGAGATCTGCCTTCCCTGCATCAAGGGCACTTAAGAGATAATGTGGGCAGGTGTCACTGAAGACCCTGAGCATTACTTGCTTGATGATAGTGTACTGATTGAATAACCTGCACATCTGTTGAGCTCTAGTTCCACCCTTTAGAGATGGCAACCAGGTGTTGTTCTGGAAGCTCAGAAGCTCTGATCCTTGGTAAGCCAGTTGCCAGAAGTCTAGCTTGACTTCCCCAGAGTGCAGCTCACAGCCTCCTGTTCCTTGTACCTCAGAGGGATCTAGAGAAGAGAGATTGTAAATTAGATGAAAGAGGGAGTTTAAAAAGATGAAATAAGAGTAAGCAAAAAAAGGAAGTAGAAGAGAGAAGTTTGAGGGATTTGAGGTAATGGAACAATTTTTGGTTTGCTCAGAAACAGAAAAAACACAGTTGGTGGTACTTAAAGGTGAAAAAATGAGTGACTTTTTCTTTGGAAATGGAAAGGAGTACATTGTTGAAAGAAAATGGCATAAATGGTGAGAGCAAGTGAACAAGAAGGAACTTAGTGTGAGAAAATTGTGTTTATGATAGCCAGGGTGAATGAAATGAATTAGGTTACAATGAATGTACAGATTGCCAAGAAGATTGAATGAAAAAAATCAGATTAAAAAAACTTATTGAGACACATATACCCCTTCCAACATTGCACCAGCTCATTTGGGGAATTAAACTTACATTCAAGCATCCATTCACTGGCATGGTTGTGAAGTAAAAGCAGAAATTCATTGTGGGCTCTTTGGTGTAACGCTTCTATTTCTGTTATCTCCTTGTTGCTAAAGTTGCCCTTCGACCAAGGCCGCAGAGAAATAAAACCACCAGAGTTCTTCCAGCTATAAATCTGCAATTCACCCAACCAGCCAGAGCCCCAACTTTTGGCCCAGGAGCGGTTGTATAAGGATAAAGTACCAATGACTCGGAAGATTTGGTCCTGGAAGGCTATTGGAAAAAAAAAAGATAGGATGAAGGGGAAAAAGGCATTGGGAAGGAAAGAGAATGAAGAAAGAAAAATGCCAGAAAGGGAAATCTCAGAATCTGGAGATAAGGGAAGCCACAGTTACCCCAGCAGACATTCACCTGCCCAGATCCCCATGCTTTATACAAAGTTTGAGGTAAAAGTAGACTTAAAGTTGTTATAAGGAAAAACAATACAGTAATTAATAAGTAATAACACAAGAATAAACTGTTTCATATGCTCACAACTGTAAACCACCTTGCACAACCTTCAGAAAGCACAGGGTCCTGAAGTGGTGCTGAAGGGATACTCAGAATGGAACTGTGCTGACATTCTCACTCTCCAGGTGTGTTCTGAGGACACCACACAGAGAAACACACACACACACACACACACACACACACACACCCTTTTACACCAGCTGGGCAGTTGCTGGAATTCTTACCATCTTCACTGTCACCACCTCTGAAGAGAACTACTAGTAATGGAATTTGCAAAAACAGCATTACTGCACAGATGTTACTTCTTTCTCTCAGAAAAGTTTGTCTTTGATTTCTGTTTTAAAGAAACCTACCCCACAATACTTCTGTGTGACTTCCTTCTTCCACCAACACACAAACCAGTACCATCACCCCCGCCTCTGTAAAAAAAAAAAAAAACCAAAAAAACCCAACATGCTCCTTCCCTAAACCCTAGTCACCAGTTAACTTCTCATTTCTCCTCCAGTTCTGACTCTCCTCATGGGCTTTCAGCATCTTCCCCTCGGTACCAGCCTTCATTCTGTTCACCTTTCTCTAATTCAGGCTCTATGGAATAAAGTCTTATGTGGTATTTTAAAGTCTTTTCATTCATACAATAAATGCATAAAACTAAATGGCTTTCCAATTCCCACCTAATGTTCTTATGTCCCTGCTCTTTTCTGTCACTCTCTCCTTCTCTTGCCAAATTCAAATAGTCTCCAAATATTCTCTTCTTCTGTCTCTGAGACACCCCACCTCATTCATTTCTCTGATGTCTCATTGGTTGCTTTCTGATTTCCCGAATCTTCTGTGACTGCCTGTGTGACCGTGTAAACTACTACTCCACTATTCTTAGGGAAGAACCAGTAGCCATCACAGACATCACAGAAACTGTGAAACACATTAGGAAAAATGTCTGTTTGACTTGTATTGATGTATATTCATTGACCTGAGAGTCATTTGGTGCCTGCCTGGTTACACTCGTCTTGCAACCCTCATGAATATACAGTTGTCTACAATGCACTCACTTTGTTCAAGGAGCTTTTCTTCTACTTAAGAAGAAAACACAAAACCAAGAACTAGAAATCTTGGTGTGCTGGGTTTTTATTATAAGTATAGACTCCATTAAAAAACAAGCTTTCTTGAAACAATATTTTGTGAAGTGGCAACTCTTAACTGTTGCCTGCTCAGGCTCTGGACTGGATTGCTATGCTCAGGGTGTAACCCACTTTTTTGAGTTTATTTGAGCCAAATTGATGACAGTTGCTGCAAAGCAAAACTTTAACAGATTGAGAAAATCCTTGGGGAAAATGGCAACTTTGTATCCTATTTTATACATTACAATCAAAAGAGAAGGCAGAAGTAGATAGTTGTTTCTCAGATAAGGTCAAATTCAAGGAGTTCATCATCACCAAGCTCATATATATGAAATGTTAAAGGGAAGTATCTAAGAAAAAGAAGATAAAAAAGATGAACATTGAAAGGACAGCAAATTCACACTTATTAACAATCACACCTAAAACAAAAGCAAACTAAGAAGACAGCTAGATCAGGAGCAGAGCCATAGAAATGAAGATCACAGGAAGGGTTAGCAACAGGGGAGTGGGAGGAGGAGAAAGGGGGAGAAGGTACAGAAAATAAGTAGCATAGATGGTGGGTAGAAAATAGATGGGGGGGGGGACTTCCGCCAAGATGGAGACGTAGATGGAGGATCCACCTCGCCTCTGTGCACAACCAAATCTAAGAACAACTATTTTTAACAGCAGTCACAACTAAGCCACACGGAAAATCGACAATACGGAGTCCAAAGGACAACTAGATACTCGGCTGGACCGGTATGAGGAGCGAGACCAGCAGCGGAGCAGGTTAGCAAGAAAAAATTCCCAGGGCGGTGCGCGGTGCGCGCAGGGAACCGAGGGCGCGATTGCGAGCGAGCTGGCTTCCGGAGCGCACAAAGAAGGGGCGCAGTGGGTCGCTCAGTCGTGCGCATTTACGTGCGGAGAAGCCAGTGAGAAGGGAAGCCGGCGCGGGGCAGCAGGCTCACGCAATTCCGATCGGATAAACGCCAGGCGTGCGGAGTGACTGGAAGTGCTGGGCTAGCGGAGAGGACCACCATTGCTCCCTCTCTGACCACGCCCCCACACACAGCGTCACAAACCAGCGACCTGGGTTGCCCCATCCTGGTAAACAACTAAGGCCTCGCTCCGCTCACTTAACAGCACAAATAGACCAAAAATGGCTCTAGGACAACTCAGAGCCCCAGAACCGACAGACCTAGAGTGATGAAGAAATAGCCAGTCTTTCAGATGCACAGTTCAAAACACTGGTTATAAGGATCCTTACAGAACTGGTTGACTTTAGTCACAAAATTAGAGAAACATATGGAAGCTAAATTAATTGAAATGAATGGGGATACAAAAGATTCCAATAGTAATGGAAAGAAAATTGGGACTCAAAACAAGGGAGGGAACCAGAAGGAAGAAAAAAATGATCAAATAGAAAGGAATGAAGAAATAAGAATTCAGAAAAAAATGAGGAGAAGCTTAGGAACCTCCAGGACATCTTTAAACGTTCCAACATCCGAATTATAGGGGTGCCAGAAGGGGGAAAGGCACAACCACCAGTTGAAAAATTATTTGAACAAATAATAAAGGAGAATTTCCCCAAGATGGCAAAGGAAATAGACATCCGAGAAATCTAGAAGCTCAGAGAGTTCCAAAAGAAGTTGGACTCAAGAAGGAACACACCAAGGCACATCATAATTACATTAGCCAAGATTAAAATGAAGGAGAGAATCCTAGAAACAGCAAGAGCTAAGAGGACAGTCACCTACAAAGGAGTTCCCATCAGACTGTCAGCTGATTTCTCAAAAGAGACCTTACAGGCAAGAAGGGGCTGGAAGGAGGTATTCAAAGTCATGAAAACCAAAGATCTACAACCAAGATTGCTCTATCCAGCAAAACTTTCATTTAGAATGGAAGGACAGATAAAGTGCTTCTCAGATAAGACCAAATTCAAGGAGTTCATCATCTACCAAGCCCTTATTATATGAAATGTTAAAGGGACTTACCTAAGAAAAAGAAGATAAAAAGATGAACAGTGAAAGGACAGCAAACTCACAGTTATTAAGAACCACACCTAAAACAAAAGCAAACTAAGAGGATAGCTAGATCAGGAGCAGAACCATAGAAATGAAGATCTCAGGGAGGGTTAGCAACAGGGGAGTGGGAGGAGGGGAAGGGGGGAGAAGGTACAGAAAATAAGTAGCATAGACAGTAGATAGAAAAATACATAGGGGGGAGGTTAAGAATAGTAGGGGGAAATACAGAATCTAAAGAATTTGAGACACATGTTCATGAACTAAAGGGGGAAATGGTGGGGGAGGGGTATGCAGGGTGGAGGGGAAGGGAGGGGGGAATAGAGCAAATGTAATGGCATAATCAATAAAAAAAAAGAAAATAGATGGGGGGAGGGAAGAATAGTATGGGAAATATACAATCTAAATAACTTGATACATGTGGTCATAAACTAAAGGGGGGATGGTGGGGGAGGGGTGTACAGGGTGGAGGGTAATGAAGGGTGGGAATAGGACAACTGTAATGACATAATCAATAAAATATATTTAAGAAAGGAAAAAAAGAGAAAACTTACTTACAGGCAAGAAAGGGCTGGAAAGAAATATTCCAAGTAACGAAATGCAAGGACCTACATCCAAGATTGCTCTATTCAGCAAAGCTTTCATTTAAAATGGAAGGGCAGATAAAGTGCTTCCTAGACAAGGTCAAGTTAAAGAAGTTTGTCATTACCAAGCCTTTATTATATGAAATGTTAAAGGGACTTATCTAAGAAATAGAATAAGATCCAAAACTAAGAACGGTAAGTTGACAACAAACTCACAACTATCAACAACTGAACCTAAAAAAAACTACAACTAAAACTAAGCAAAGAACTAGAATAGGAACAGAATCACAGAAATGGAGATCACATGGACGGTTATCAGTGGGAAGGGATTATCAGTGAGGAGGGGAAGGGGGACAATGGGGGTGAAAATGTACAGGGAATAAGAAGCATGATTGATAGACACAAAATAGACAGAATGAGGTTAATAGTATAGGAAATAGAGAAACCGAAGAACTTATATGCACAACCCATGGACATGAACTAAGTTGGGGAGAATGCTGGAGGGTGGAGGGGTACGCATGGCAGAGGGGGGATAAAGGGGAGAAAAAATGTGAAAACTGTCATAGCATAATCAATAAAATATATTTTAAAATAAAAAATTTAATTGTTCAAGTACAGTTTTCTGTCTTTTACTCCCATTCCAACCCCCCCCTGTGCTCCCCCTTCCCTCCCAATTCCACCCCCATAGTTTTTGTCCATGGGTCTTTTATATTAGTTCCTGTAAACCCTTCCCCTTTTCTTTCTGAAATCCCTTCCCTCTCCCACCTGGTCCCTGTCAGCCTGTTCTCTGTTTCAGTGTCTGTGGTTATATTTTGCTTGCTTGTTTGTTTTGTTGCTTAGGTTCCTGTTAAAAGGTGAGATCATGTGGCATTTGTCTTTCAACACCTGGCTTATTTCACTTCAGCAATAATGCTTTCCAGTTCCATCCATGCTGTTCAAAGGATAGGAGCTCCTTCTTTCTTTCTGCTGCACAGGAATCCATTGTGTAAATGTACTATACTTTTTTGATACATTCATTTACTGATGGACACCTAGGTTGCTTCCAGCACTCGGCTACTGCAAATTGTGCTGCTATGAACATTGGGGTACACAGGTTCTTTTGGATTGGTGTTTCAGGGTTCTTAGGCTACAATCCTAGCTGTGAAATTCCTGGGTCAAAAGGCAGTTCCATTTTTAGTTTTCTGAGAAAATTTCATACAGTTTTCCATAGTGGCTGTACAAGTCTGCAATCTCACCGATAGTGAACTAGGGTCCCCTCTTCTCCACAACCCTCTCCAACACTTGCTGTTTGTTGCTTTGTTTATGATGGCCATTCTGACTGGTGTAAAGTGGTATCCCATTGTGGTTTTAATTTGCATCTTTCTGATAGCTAGCGATATTGAGCATCTTTTCATATGTCTCTGGATCCTCTGTATGTCCTCATTGAAGAAAGTGTCTGTTCAAGTCCTTTTGCCCACTTTTTAATTGGGTTCTTGTCTTCTTCGAGGTGGAGTCGTTAATTTCTTTGTATATTTTGGAGATTAACCCACACGTCTGAGATATCATTGTAAAATATGTTTTTCCCATATGGGTTGGTTCTCTTTGCCTTAATATTGTT